CTTGTCTCCCTTCTTGTTGGTCATTGTGTCCGTCTTGTCTCCCTTCTGTTTTCTTTTGTATTCCTTCTTGTCTCCCTTCTTGTCTCCCTTCTTGTTGATGTCTCAAAAAGTGGACTTGGGAATGCTTCGTTGTTGTCCCGCCTGTTTGGGGTCTACGGTGGTGTAATTTTTTCCGAAGCTTTTGTTCATACTGCTGCTTCGCTGCCCTTTACTCCGGCAAGAAACTCGTTCCGAACACCCCCGATGTGTTGACTTTCGCAAGAGCTTCGCTCCAGCTTCGCTCTCGCTCCCCTCGCGCCAGCTCGATGCCGCGCAAATGCTGCACTTACGCCGAAAGCCTTTGGAAGGAGCTGGTTCGTTCGGGAGAGCTGTGCGTCATCCATCCGTCGCCGAAAGATCGCACCGCACCGAAACACGCCCCAAAGAACCGACACCAAACGATCCATTTTTTCCGAGGAACGAGAAGGAGTTCATGCTTTACACCTCTGCGGGTCGCGTAGGCTCCACCTTCGTCTCCGGCGGCCCGCTGGTCGAGGCCGTGAAGGAGTGGGACATCCGCAGGAGAGCGAGCTCGGCGGCGATGGGTGCGGGACAGCGTGTGGGACAGCGGTGGGGCGGCGGTTCTTCGGTTTGGCGGTTTTGGCGTTTTTTTTTGGATTTTTTCGTTCAAACGCCGGTTTGAAGGTGGAGGGTTTTCAGATTGTCCCTGAAGTGGAGAGAGAAAAGCCAGAACCTGATCAAGTAGAACCTGATGGTGGGTCTTCTTACCAGTGGGGATTTTCTCTTGTTGGGGTGGGATGGACCGAACGAACCGACCGTCGCGCCACCCAGGAGTGAGGCATCGGATCCGCCCTACCGGAGGCCGATCCGGTCGCGGGCTGTTCGGGCTGTTCGGTCAACGGGTGAGGGACCCGGATCCGACGCCAAGACCAGGAAGGTTGGATAACACTTCTTTGGTAATTCAAGGGAAACGTCTTTTTCAGGGTGTGTGATGATCTACCTGGCTCCTGGCAGTCTTTTCTTTTTGGGTAGATTCTCTTCATTCGAACTAGAACCCTTTAGCTACAGTAACAACCATGGTTTTACTGAGGATTTCGGACTACAAACCTCAGGTGAACATTTCTTTCAACGGTATTTGAAGGCGGGCAAAAGCCATGGTACCCCCCCAAAAACCTACCCTTTTCATACCTTTACTGGTATTTACAGTATTTTATGTATATTTTTCAGTATTATTCCTAAGCTTAAAGGGGAGGGCCCCTTGAAGAAAACCCCGAAAACAAAAACACACACACACACACAAACACAAATAAACAAACAAAATAATTGTGTCTTGCACGACCATGTCCGACACTGCAAAAAGCGTGTCAAAGCGAAGGGAAAGTGGGTGTGGAGATTGCCCACCTATGTCCGCATGACTCATTGCCAACAGCCTGAAACATACCTGTTTGCAGTTCTTCTGCATACCACAAATGTATGAATATGGATGATGTTGTTTGCGTCTGTCTGCCTCACACATAAAACCAAAGGCTTGAAGGTAAAAAAACAGTAGGTTTTAGGGGGGGCTAGCATATAAATCAATGGTGTTTGGGAATCCTAGTTTTAGTACTGGACCTGACTGGACCGGAACATCCCGGTCTGTCCACTCCGAGCGCCAGCGCTCCATCCGGTGGGTTCTTCCCGAGGCAGATTCTCAACTATTTGGCCAAGGTCAATGAGCTCGACGGCGACTTGGATCGAGATGTCTGCAGCCTGTGGGGGTGCTTGATGGAATCACACACCCAAGTGGTTCAAGCACGGCAGTCACCCAGCCAAATCGAGGCTTGAAGAAGACGAAAGGAGGAGTTTCTGCGCAGAACGCTGGGACGACGTAAGGTACAGGTGGATGTTGTCGGAAGGAAAGACTAGTGGCTAGAATTATCTAGAATCCAAGCGGCATCCTGTCCCGGCAACTATTGATTTCAAACCAATAGAAAGGCCATAAAGACCAAGTAAGTTGGTTCTCAATCGAAGGCTGATACTGATCACGTTTACTCAGCATGTATTTGCATGACAGCAAGGCATTGAGGACTTGCTTGCTACAGCCAAGAGGCTACTTCACGCCTTAGTCACAGGGTACTTTCCAAACACCCACTGGAACAAGGACAAATCGATTCACTGCGGATTTTTGGTTCCAAGAAACAACGCGACCAAACACCTCGCCCGCCCTGGTTGGATGTTCGTGATCCGTCCGTTTTCCTCTTTACTTTCGAGGAGAGATCGCGCTGGATAAGATGGGCCGGCCACACTTGGAGGCTGACCGATTCAGAAACGAACAGCACACTTCCGTATTTTTTTCTTCCTATTTTCTCATTCCTGTACTGTCCGCAGGATGACCGCTTGGACACCTCTGGGGGCATGACGCGGCTCAATGGTGAGCCGGAGTTCCTGCACGAAGCCAAGCTCTTCCAAAAGCACGCCAAGAGGCGTCGGGGACGGTCTCGCTCGAGCGAGACCGCCGGTGGAGCTGCTGAGTGCAGCTGTCACCGTGGAGCTGCTGAGCTGTTACTCTGAGAGTCCAGTGAGTCATGACTCATTTTCACCCGAACTGGCACTATGGTAGTGGTGGATGGATTGACTACCAGGTGGAGCAGTTCATGAGTCAAAACGGAAGTTCTGGGTGTAACACCCCTTTTGGCAAGCGGAATCTATACGATGCGCCTGGTGCATCGTTGTACAGCATCTTTTCACCGTTCACCTGCTGTTGGTGACTTTGGTCCGTCAGACAGACCCTTGGACGTACCGGACACCAGGTGACCATGTGCCGAGTCTACACTCCGATGAACACATCACATGGAAGTGGAGTGAAAAACCCCCAGTTCGTAATGGAAAGTGACCATTTTCCAAGGGACCATGCCATCCGCGTAACCATGATGCTTTAGCTCTCTTCCTGTTTCCATTCTGAAGAAAAACCACAAGGGGAGTTGACCCATCGATTTCTTCCAATCCGAGTCGTCTAGGTTCTCGGCTCCGAGAAACCTCCGGGGCCAGGTTCGAGCAGTTGAACATGATGGTTCGCCTGCGCGTGATGGCCAATCTGGGCTTGCCCCGCAAGGCGGGTCGACCAGTGCGGACGGTTTGAGGTGGTGGTGACGTCGACGAAAAGCGGTGTCTTTTTTGGATCCCCACAGAAAAGGTAGGGGACCCCCCTTCTCTTTGAAGGTGTAAAAGAGGGTGGTGTAAACCATTCCTTGCGGGTCCAGGTTCTCTTCCAGGTCTTTTCTAGGTGTTTTTTATCCGATCGAGAAGGACACATTGACTTGACCCACCAAAGCCATGCGGACACCTGACCCCGTTCGCACTCAGACTGCTCACCGTTCGCCAGGCGGTCCTCCGCGCGTGCGCGTGCGTCACTGTGCAGGTGAAGGGCTGTCGGGAGGCGGACCCAGCGCTACGGGGCCTGTCGCTGAATCAACTGCGTGTGGTCTCAGCCAAGCTGGAAGCCAGCTGCCCATGGAGGAGGGGAAGACGCACGAGTTCCATACCGCGGGAGGGGTTCACTGCCTGGTTGAAGGGTGGTGGTCAGGGTCGCAGCCTTTTTTTGGGGACATTGAAGAGGTCGGGGTGTGGCCTCAAACACCTTGTGATGGTGGATGAAGGATGAATCCCAGGTTTGGGTATCTTTCCGCTTCCTTTGCGGGCCTGTAGATCCTTGTAGTTAGGTTTGAGGGGGCCTTAGGAAAATGGCAGGTGTCCAACATGTTTTCTTGCGGCGATAGGAGCAGCAGGACAATAGGACAGGAGCCTGAATCAGTGAACCAGCACAGACGGATTTTGTTTGACTTGAGTCCTTGGGACGACGGCTCGTGGCTCCAGGGACGACGATGAGGATTGCCCGTGGCTTGATGATGAGCTTGGCGAGGATGTGGAGCTGGAGTATAACAGGCTTACCACCAACCAGGTGTGGAAAGACAGCCCTCACATTTGTATCGTGTTTGGGTCCATATCTCTATTGGGGTAAATTGTTCACTCATTCCTTCCAAATCGCACCAGCCAGAGAAGAGAGATTGAGCATGCAAATGATTGCTGACTAGACCACAGGACTGTAGTAGGCAGGCGCTTGTTCTTGCGGAAAGTGGACCAGCTCTGTCTTTGTTTCAACCGAAGTGAACCAGCCTTTCAGGTTTCCCTCTGGGTCCAGTGGAGAACAATGGAGGAGAGGAGCTAGTCTTGAGGGAAGCTGAACCATGCGCCAGGCAGCTGTGTTGTTTCTTCGGGGTGTACGTTTGATGCATTTCTCTTCAGAGGTATGAGTTCCTGCTTCTTAAACATAGAGTGCTCTTTGGAGAACCAGATGCCGAGAAGCGAAGGTTGGGAATTGTGGAATGTTCCTCACAAACGAAACTTATGTTGAAAGGATTACATCAAAAACACATCTAAGAAGGACGTCTCAGAGGAAAAACATGACTGACTTCCTCCAACCACCGGGACACCAACCGAGCCAAGCGGCTGGCGCCAGCAGCGGGTTGCTATTCCCCTGCAGGAGAGCTGCTCTTACATGGAGTTAGTCTCTGACGATCCGCAGAAGCCCCAGTACGCCTTGAATCTGTCGGAGACCCAGAACTGGTCCGAGCGCATGATGGCGATCGAGCTGTTCGCGGAGGTGCGGTCATCTGCTGCGCCATGCAGTCAGGGAAGCTTTCCTAGGAGCCGGGGGTTTTCCAGATTCTCCATTATACAAGGAGCCACAGGGAGTCTCCTAAACACTTGCTAGTTTCTGCTTTCTTTTTTTGTCTATCGGTGTGAAGGACCGGCACAGTGTGTCGATTGAGTGCGAAGCTCACAGCAAGGATTCCAGGATCGTCATTGGTTGGCGGGCAAGAAGCTTCAGAGTGAGTCACCATCCACGTCACCATGTCCCGCTGACGGACCCAACTCACCTCGACCGACCGCCCCCCCAAGCGTCGTGGGCGACGCAGAGAGGCGCAACAGCTGCCAGACTCAGCCGTCTTCTTCGTGGACATCCTCAGCATGAACATGAACGACCGAGAGGTAGGTGTCCATACCTTTTCTTTGTTTGGCCTCCAGACGCCCTGTCTGGGGGGTGGGGAAGGTCTTTGATTCTTCTTGATTTGGGTGCCAGAAGAGACGTACTCGTTGGCTCGGCTCCGGGGTCGGTTGGCGACCGGCCGACCGGCGAAACCGGCTTTTTGCCGCCTCCTTGGGGTTCTTTCGATCAGAATGCCGGCGGATCACTAAGGAACCAGCTTTTTCAGTGGCTTTTTTCCATCGTCTGTGATGCAACGGGGAGACCCCGTTTTCCTTCTGTTTGTTGATGACAAAGGGATGAGGTGAAGGGTCAAAACACAGTTCTGCTCCCATTCCTCAAAACAGGTGGCTGGAAGAAGCAATTCACCTGCGAGATAGGAAGCCCCACGACAGCACCGAGCCAAAACGCTCAGCGGTTTTGGCTCCGGCCACCAGGTCCGGTTCATGGCCACATGGTCAGGACGCTGAGGAGGTCTTTCGGTCGGTGAAGAACGAGTGCGAGGGGCTCATCTACTTGTTGTCCAATGAGGCGCCGAACGGGGGCACGGACGTGGGACCGTACGTGGAGGAGGGTCGGTCTCGCGGAGGGCCCGAAAGGTGCCTCTTTGTTGGTTCGGAGATAAGGGATCAAGAGACACACTTAGATGCTAATACACGGGTTGAAAAATCAAAGTTTCCTGTCCTGCCATCCACCACCAGGTGTTGCTGGGATATCCATGGTACACATACATGGTCTTTCCCTAGCAGCGCGCTCGCTGCGAGGGCTTTCTTTTCTTCGTCCAACGAGCATAGATCAAGTATTTTCGAGCGACGCATCTGGTGAATCGTTCAAAGTAGCCAAGCGCAGCGTAGCCTATGTGACCAAGCCTAGTAATCGCCTTGCTTTCGGTCGCCCGAACCCCGATCGCCATAGGAAGATCGGGACGAAGATGAAGTGTTGGACACCTTGGGGCCAATGATCATGGAGATTGGCACCAACAAAGGCATTTTCTTTGCCTCACGCCATGGCGTCTTGGCCTGTAGCCAAGCCTTTCGCAGTGGCACCTGGGTCCACGGCGACTTCGATGTGCAGGCGGGGGAGAGACGGAGAGTGTGACAATGTGTGACATGTGACGCTTGGCAGTGCCGCGCCTGGCAGCAGTGCCGCGCCTGGCAGCAGTGCCATGCAGCAAAACTTGTACCTGGAATGAGAGAAATTCCTCAATATGTTTTTTCTCACGTGAGAAAACAGACATCATTACGCATTCAAGCTCCACCGTGTGTCTGGGTGTGTTCCACCCGCTTTCTTGCTGCCGAGCCGAAATTTCGGCTTGCTCCCGAAGTGGTGAGGGGACCTCCGCTGAAAGGTTATCATGGTTTCGCTGATGGTCATCCCCTATGGCCAATGAAAGAGTATTTTGGGAGCACCATCCACGATCCTCCCCCAAGAAAAGAAAGAATCCATTTCCGGACTGGACATCGCGATGGCCTCCATCGTCGTGGGGGTCAAGGCCTTTCCCAGTACTAAACATCTGTCTATGCCCACGCATGCCACTGAGCGTCACTTTCAGACTACCTCTGGTGGCATGACGCGTGCACCTTAAGGACACACTGCACCTTAAGGACGCACCCAGAAAACTCCTTGTTCCCTTGTTCCTGTCCTTCTGTCCTTCTGCCGCGCAAGGTCATCTACCGGCTCTTGGCCTTGGTGTTGAAGAACGACGACGCCGAGAACGACGCCGCCGAGGTCGACAACGAGAACTTCCGCGCGGTGCTGCGGCTCCACAGCTGGCTGGCAGGGCCAGTGCTCCGGCGCGCGGCGCGGAAGGCCGAGTGCTGACGCCGGGTGACATGACGCCGGGTGCTGAAAAAAATGCTCTCCCAACCCGGCCTGCGAAGCATTGTTTTCCTTATAAGATGATTGTGTGTTGAACTTGTAGACTCTAGGAGGGAGACAGCTGTTTGTTTTAGGCTTGGGGATGACCTTGATTCTAAGGGGCCATTCTTCGGCATACTTAGGAGACTCAAGACCGAGTAGACTCTTTCGTTGTCTCTGCACGTTGGCTCTTTCGTTGAGGACGACGCGGAGAGCGTCAAGAGGATTTGCAGTTTGCCAGGCGTGTGGTCGGGGCGAACCACGGGGTTCTGAAGGGCTGAAGGAGGCCACAGGCCATAGGAGAAGGAACATGGAAGGTTGATGGATGCAAGGTTTGATGTTCGGGGCACCGAACGCTCTTCAACTCATCTTCTCATACCGATGATTCGAGCTGAGTGTGTTTCCGCAAAGTCACTCAGTAGCCGCCTTTCTTCCTGTGAACATCGCAAACCACCAATCCGCAATCAAAGGTGAGGGCCAAGACATGTCAAGACCCTTCTGCTTGGAGGGAACCCACCCTTGTTGTGCCGATGAACGGGGGGAAGTTGATCACATCAAAAGTGTGCTCCGGCAGACTCCGTGACTCCCCCTTCCGCAGCTTTTGTGACCTTCTCTGGACGCAGCAGATGATCTTTTTCCACCACGGACCACGCAAACCATGTGCAAACCAGTCATGGATTATAATATTACTAACAGTCATGCATTTTGTAATACATCATCAACATTGAACGAGACTTTGTCTGTATGTGACACGTGGTATATCAATATGAATGGCACATATTACATTGATGATGAATTGGTGACTCACCAGTGCTCCGTTTTTGGTGCTTTTCTTCTCCCGTCTCTTCGACCGAGGCCTGCGCTTGTCCAGTGACACCATGAAGGACCACCTGGGCAGGACCGTTTCACGGTGACGGTGCGCTGGACCGGGTTGGGGAGAGGAGCGTCTCCGCATGAGACGGCGCGTAGGGCGAGTTGGGCGGGGGGCGAGTTGGGCGGGGCATAGGCTGCTCTGGTGAGGAAAAGGATGGAACACGTAGATTTATCGTGGCAGAAGGTGAATTCATGGGCATTTTTGGGTGAGTCTCAAACGATTTCCAAGTGGTGGGATGTGGGTGAGTCTTGGAAAGGCCAAAAATGCCATGGCTCTTCTATCCACTTGGTGTGACTACATACTGTACATAAGAAAGTGTCGGATTTGAGATGCAAGCAAGATGTTGAAAGATATCTACTGTTAGGTGCCAGACTTGAGGAGGATACACAGGGGTTGTAGCTAATGTGACAAAGCAAAAAGGCACCCACCTGCTAATGCAGCTTGGTGTCCGGTCTACGTTATTGCTCTTCGCGGATGTCCAAGAAGCGACTGCAAGACTCCACTCACTTGCCATGCTCCTGGATTGGCCGGGCATTGCTACCAGCCTCGCCAGCGGGTTGCGTCCAATGTGATCAGCCCAGCACATCAGAGTTTCCTCTTCGATCATGTGACAGGGGCCCTGAGAATGGAGCAACATCCCTAGCAAACGGGACATGACCTACTCGTGTATCTCTACAGAACCTTTGTGTGACTCCTTAAAGCATGTCACAAAACCTTTGGTGGGGTAACTCTTGCATCCTGCATCTCTTCCTATCAGACTGCTTTTCGCGGCGCTCCATCCGATCTGCGTTTCGCAGCGCTCTCTCCAGGATGCCGTTGCATATCGCAGTGGCCTGTAAGTCCGTCAGTGCGCTGAAGGCGCTTTTGGAGGCGAAGATGGATCCCAACGTGGAGGATGACATGAAGGAGACACCACGGCACCAGACCAAACGCGGACCGCACGCGGACCGCACGCTAGCTGGGTCCCCTGGGGTGACGTGGACCGTTTGGACTTCTCTTCAGAAGCGTTTGTGATCGCATGATCTTTTGGGCTGGCATTCAGCATGTTGATGAAGTTGAACTTGTAGGATTTCAGGATGGCATTCAGCATTCCACGATGGGTTGCGGAACTCTTTTCCTCAAGGATGTCACGGCCAGCACGATGTGGAACCTTTGAATCAACAGCATGGAAACCACACCAAGCGCCTTCTCGAAATCCACCGAATCTACACCATCACTGGACTTCGTCTTCATTCCGCGGCCACTGGACGCGGGCGACGGCCCTGAAAAAACAGACATCAGACCCGCGGCACCGTCGTTCACCGTCGTTCACCGTCGTGCAGACGAGGCTCACCAGAGTTCCTCGTCTCGCGCACCGTCGTTTAGGACCGACCCTTGCATTATGCGGCCATGGCCGGACAAGAGGATTTGGCGCAGATCCTGGTGGCTGCCGGAGCGGATCCCTGGGGGGAGAACTGCTACACGGAGACCGCCCTGCAGGTGGGGAACGGGTAGAACCGGCGGACCGAAGCAAGTCGCGGTGTCCCCCCGGAGAACGAGGGGTGAAAAGATGGAGTTTCTACCTTGGAAGGCTGCGATTTCAGGCCGGAACAGAGCAACAGACTGCTTGAGATTGCTCATTTTTGCACTGTATCACTACACTAAAGTGAGTTAAGGGCTTGGAATTGACGTCATGGGAAGCCCGTGTCCCATTCCTCTCTCTGGTTGGGTGAGGTGGAAAGAAACTCATGGTTCGTTAGAAAAAATGTGTCGCACATTCCTTCGAAGACCTGAGAATCCACATTGCAACCCCTGGTTCGGTGACGACTTTTCAACCGAAAAACATATCATGGCACGACGGGCCTGCTTTGCGCGGGCTCTGCGCGGCACGAAACTCGGCTTGAAAAGGGGAGCGTGTAGACCCAGGTGATTCCGAAGCGTCCGCGTCGTCCAGGTGGCGCGGCAAAGCCCCGCGGCCTTCCTGGGAGTCGACACCACGAAGGCGCGTCGCGGTGCGGCGTTCGACTCGACGTCGACGGTCGTGCGAACAGCGACGTGGCGAACGCGTCGCGTGGCGAAGTCTGCGACGTGGCGAAGGCCTCGTATCGCCACACGCGCGCCAGCGCGCGGAACCGCAGAACCGCCGAACGCGGATGAGGTGGTGAAGTTTCTCAGCAAGAAGACGCAAGCGATTCCCTGGAAGGATGTCATGAAGACCTTCCATTCCTTCATTCGAAGGCGGGCCGGAAAGGTTTGCAGAGCTCGGGGCCTTTTCTTTTTTGGTTCGGAGGTGCTTTGGTGCTCCGGACAGCAGCCACTTAGTGTTTTCTGCACATTTTCGGAGGTGACACGGGGAAACCGTTGAAAACAACACTAATTTAATTTCATCTAATTTCTGAGTACTCCTTCGGGGGTATCTGGCAGTGGGTTTTCTCTCAAAAAGGGAAGGTGGGTTCCTCAAGGTCTGCGGGATGGAAAAAAGAAACGGTTCCTTTTGCCATCAACTTCTAACGGTTTCTTTTGAGGCAAAGCCGAGTCAAGACATGCTGACCCGACTCACCCAATCTCGGCTGAAAGGCCCTCGGCAGTTGGGTCAGCTATGTCAGCGGCACGAGAGCTGAGCAAAGTGGCTGCGTGAGACTGGAGTGGTTTTTGGCGTCGCCCATGGCGTCGCCGTTGTGGAGGATCAGACGCAGCTGCAGATGTGGTGTCCAACGCCGATGCCAGTATTTAAGTTTCCACTTTGGTTGAAGATTACCCAACAAGCGGACCGTGAATTGCGTAACAATGTGCAAGGTCAATGAACTTTGCTCAGCTGTTTTTGTGTTACACCTGCGGCTATGGCCTCCCTTCCAGCTCTGGTTTAGTTTGTTTAATGTACTCTCATTTGGAGCGAATATTCATTTCTCAATATATGCAAATAACAAAAGAAGAGATCGCTTCAGATGACATCCTTTTGAAATCCTCAAAGAGGAACATTACGTAATTCCAAAAAAAGAAAGGACAACAACAGGATTCCTTAAAACTCAGAAATCTACCCTAACTCCTGACTCCTGACACTGGAAATGCCGGACTGCTAGCAGCGGTTTCAAGGTGAACGATTTTGTATTAAGTGGTCTTGATGCTATAATTGCACCCTATGCACCAGACCAACCTGCGCAAGGTGACGTGCCTCACACGTCCCCATAAACAATGGCAATCAATATTTTCACAATTTTTTTTGATAATAATTTACTATATTTTATTAATATTAATATGATTCATAATTTATAATTTCATAATTAAAATCTTTGAAAATTAAAAAATAGATTTTTATATTATTTGATTTTATGAAGCCATTTTGTATCTTAATAAGGATATTTATTACGATGGAATCGAATTAAAGATTTTAATTTATTTTATATATATAATATTTTTAAAAATAGATATTTATTTCATTTAATATTTAATTATATATAAATTATTTTTTATATAAATATTATTGTTTAAATAATTATTTATCGATTTATTAATTATTGAAATCATTTAATTTAGGATTTTTATATTTTAAATATAGATAAATTAATATATATAATGCAATCTGGTTGATTCGATTAAATCGATATTACAAAATATTATTAATAATATAATTGTAATTGTATTATTATTGATTTTTATTTATATAAAATTACATAAATAATGAATTTTTGAATTATAAGAATTGAAAAATTAATATATTTATAATATCTATATAGATTTAAATAAATATAAACAATATATATTTAAATTATTTAATACTTAAATTATATATATATTATCACGACCTTTATTATATTTAATATAAAAAATAGAACTATTGCATTAGGCCTGAAACTCTGTTATTAGAGACCTTATATTCATCTTAATTTTTGGAAATATATCTATATATAATATTAATTAATATATTCTACATTTATTTAAAACTATTCTAAACCCATTTAAAATGATTCCTAAATCACTTTAAATTTATCTAAATCATTTTAATCTTCTTTAAATTCTTTATTAAAATTATTCGAAAACGCACTTTAGACAACTCTAGACTTTTAGAGGAGGTCAACAACAATAGTCCTCACTCGAATATCTTCTTATATTTTAGAGTCCGCTTTAAATTTTTAGAATGGCTCTAAATTTTTAGAATGGTAATCTAAAAATTTAGAGGAATAGGGTCATACCCTAGAATTAGCTTGGGTATAGTTATTTCCCCACACCTACCCTAACACTTATCCTTGGGAGCTACCTCTTGGGAGCTAGTTGGGAGTTGGCGAAGCCGGTTGGGGCCACAGACCCTGTCCCCTCTAAAATCTTAGAATGATTTAGAGATGGTTTAGAGGGATAGAGATGAAGAGGATCTGTGGCAACAGGGTCTCTGTTGGATTCCCTGAAAATTTTTAAATTATTGGATAATCTTTAATTATTATTATAATAATGAATAAATATATAAATTAATGATAATATATATATTTTGATTACTATTATATATATATATGTCATTTCATTTCATTTGCGGTTAAATTATTCTTTGGTCCGTGTTGGTTAACACACGAATGCGGAAATTTCAGGAGCTTCTTATTTCTCGAATGACGGAGCACTGCGGATATGAGAGGGCTAAAAATTGTTTCAGCTGGACGTGTCGGCCGAGAGTTGGGTCCATTTATTATTGGATCGCGGGTGTGCAAAAGGTCTGCCCCAAAATTGTATGAATTGATCCTGAGGTGCCCCAAAAAAGATAATTATCTTGCTTCATCTCTTCATGAATGCGGTTCCGGCAAGGAAATTTTTGATATCTTTTGATATCTAAATATTGCCATTCGTCAAAATATATCCTTGGTAATGGCTCGCATTAGGGATTAATCCAAGGTACAATATCAAATTGATGATACGATATTGGGTGCAGAATATATCCAGGTCAGAAGGGCGGCCAAAGACAGGTAGCAGGACCTCAACCCTGGGGAAATCAATCAAGATCTCGTTCTTGATCAACAGGTCAGGGAAGCGCTCAATCTGGCGACACACACTTGGATGCTCAATCATGAGAACATTAGTCCATTGAACCAATTATGGATCAATTATCGAACGCAAACTTTTTGATCAGGGCAACACAGCAAGATCGGTGCAAATATGGCGCCCATGTCACTTGTTTCCTGCAGTAGCCGATTCGCAACCATCCTGTGTATTCAGCGGCATCGTGTTGT